TCCTGCCTCACGCAGCCATGAGCGGCCCGTGGAGCCGGCAGCCTGCCCCAGGGCACGCTGGGAGACAGGCGCCTCCAGCATCGGAAATCCCAATCCCCGTACCCTTCTGCGCCTGGCGAGGGGCATCCCAGCGAGCTGTGCCAGCCAGCCAGGCCACGGGGGGCGTTAATCTGCCATCCCGGCCAATCGGATCCTGGGCTGCCACCCGAAAACTGCCCTGCTGCGTCCATTGGAGACAGGAGTCACCTTCGCTTCCTGTCCTAAATGGCCGCACGGTGGCTGCCAGCCCCACCCCAGAGGCAGCTGCAGCTCAGCCCGGAGGGAGGGATCCCTCGACACAGATTCGCCAGGACGTCGGGCCAGCCCCAAGGGAGCCGCGCCCGAGCAAGTGCCCCCCCCCCGACTCAGCAGCTCTAAGGGGAAATGAAGGGCCGGCTGGCCCGGGGCCCGGTGAGACGGTGCCAATACCCCAGGACAGACGGCAGCGTGCTGGGAGCGAGCCAGCCGCCAGCTCAGAGAAAGCAGCATCTGTGAGTGAGGGGGATAGGGGGTGGGGGAGGCAGCCCGGGGACTCTCTGAGCCTTCAGGAGCTCTCCAGTCACCCTGCCCTTCCCCCTCTGGGACCACCGGGGAGCAGCCTGATTCTCTCCACTGCCCACGGGGGCCACCCGGCATTTCATGTCAGCAGCAGGACTCGAACGCTGCTCTGAAAGCCCAGGCCCCTGCGCTAAGGGAGACTACCCATTTGCTGTAAACAGTACAGGGCATATGACACACAGCTGAGCAGAGCCGGTTCAGTCCAGTAGAGGGCTGCTGTCCCGGCCCTGGGCTCCTCCCAGACACACAGCTCGGCCAATGCCCCTCACTCCCGATCCCCAGCCCTGGGACAACGTGAACTGAGTTACCCCAATAACCCGTCCCTCTGGTGAGTATGAAGCCGTCGCGTCACTGGGCTGAGACCCCCCGAACTCATCGTGTCTGAACCAGGCCCCCGGACGCAAACAGCCAGTGAGAGCATTGAACCCGCTGAGCCACTGCAGCTGCCCCCCCCCACCCCCCCGCTACCTACCGCGTTGTCGGGGTGGAAGATGTAGGAGGCCGGGGAGTTGTCCACGATGATGATGCGGCTCAGGTCCCGGCCCAGGCGGCTCAGGTCCTTGACGTAGTTGCCGCGGTGGAAGACGCAGGACTCGCGGAAGAGGCGGGCGCGGAAAGCTCCCCATTTGTCCAGCAGGTCAGCCACGGGATCCGCGTACTGGGGGGCCGGGGGGACACGGTCAGGCTCGGCCAAAGGGGAGCAGGGGAGGGGCCGAGCCCTGGGGCCTTTGGCTGCTGGCCGAGGGCACTCGGGGGTCCCCCTCCCCGGGGGACACGTCTCAGCCCCTGAGAGCACGGGGGTGCCTCCTCAGGCAGCAGCTGCCCCAAAGCCATTGCGCAGCCTTCTGGGCACCCCCCATCCCCGAAGCCTTGTGGGGACACCGCGGAGGAGGGGGCGCAATGAATGGCTGAACTGGAGGGACAGCTTGGTCTAGTGATCAGGGGCCAGGACTCCTGGGTCCTATCCTGGCTCTGGGAGGGGAGTGAGGGCTAGTGGTTGGCGTAGGGCGGGCTGGGAGCCAGGACTCCTGGGTCCTATCCTGGCTCTGGGAGCCCCGTCTCCGGTGCTCTAGCTGGGGGGAGGGCGCGACGCTGAGCGCGTGGAGCAGGCCGACGCCCGCAGGCTGCCCGGCGTGGGGCGCTCACCTTGGCCAGGCTGGCGGTGAAGAGCACGCACTCGAAGAGCTCGCCCATGCGCCGCAGGAACTCGTCCACGTACGGGCGCTTCAGCACGTACACCTGGGGGAGGGGCAGCGTGAGCCGGCGGCCGCGGGGTTGGAGACGGGCAGCGCCCAGCGAGATGGGGCCCCTGGCGCCTGGGACCAAGCCCCCGCAGAGCCACCGAACGGCTGCCAACCCCCAGGAGCCACCCACCGTCCCAGGGGCTGGGGGGAGAACCCGGGGCAGGCTTGGGGGGGGGCAGGGGAGGTGCCAGGCCTGCCATGCCCCGAGCTCCTTTGCAGCAGCAGGCGCCCTGCGGCTCCCCAGGCGGCGTCTCTCCGGCGTCTCCACCCGAAGCTGCCGGCCGGCTCCGGCGCCAAGTAATCGAGAACAGGCCGACTGCGCAGACCACAGCCTATCCTGGATTACTTGAACCCGGCGCCGGCCTCCGTGTGGGGCGGGGACCTGCCTGCTGAACAGCGCCCGACGGTGGGAAAGTCAGCCCGGGGCTCCCCCCGCAGGAAACCTTGGC